ATAAATAAAAAAAACTATGAATGTAGATATGGCACTTTATGTTTGGTTTTCGCAAGAAAGGAGGTCCAAGGAAAAATATTGTCGTCATTGAGTAAAAATGCAGAGAACTTTTATCCAGAATGTCATAATGTGACCTAAATCGAAAATTAAGAAGAGTTTGTAATTCTTAGAAGAATCAGTTCAATAATGGACCATTACATTGGTACCTTTTAACCATAATAAGATGCAATTTTTCTGAGATCTTTATAATGCGCCATGCTTCTGTACAAGTTGAGCACTACTAGCTGCAAGTTTGAATGATATTATAATTTAACACACTCAAAAATTACAATTGTAGCAATGTTTTAATTTTACGTATAACGTATTAAGTTTTATTTGTATAATATTTAATATTCTTTTTAATTATTATATTGTGTTCTGTTTGTATGATGTGTTTATAATATATGACGAATGATGATTATTGATGTATAATAATGAATGATGCATTACGTATTTCGATTTTATGGAATGTCAAAGAATAAAAATGTATTTATAAATTTTATAATATTGAATGATTGAATTGGTTTTAATTTTGCAATTGTGTTGTGCATAATATTGGATAAAGCACACTTTCAGAAAAGCAAAAACATTTTTAATCATCTATTACATTTTATATATTTTCATGGCTTATGTTATATTTCATATTTATGTATAATATTGTGTTTAAAATATGTTCTTTTTGTTATATGTACTTGTTCAATTTTCGACTTTGTATAATATTGTAATGTATAATATTGTGGATAGTGCTTACTTAGTACAAAACAATAAATGATAGTGTATTTTTATCCTATAAAATATTGTCTATATTTTATATCTAACATATTTATGGATTTTATGACCTTAAATAAAACATATTTTCTTTAAAAAAAAAACTTCTCTTTAAGGACTGGTTTTGGAACACTAAGAAAAATTCCACTTTTAATTGGAAGGAAAAATCAAATTACTTTGATCGAAGCTCGCTTCCAAAAACTACCTCTAGGGCAAACTACTTACAAAAATAAAAGCTAAAAAATAAAACGCGTTAAAGAACATAAGCTACGAAATATAATTAAGGTATAAAAGAATTTTCTAAAATGTTCTCCTAGCATCAGAAAGCGCGTAACATTAAAGAAGCGCTTTTTAGAAAGTTTATTATTTTGGCGATCTGTACAAACGATCTTCGCCTTTAACCATTTATTAAAAAAAATTTCTCTCTTAAAAGAAGCGCCAAGTGTAATAAAAAATACGTTTTCTTAAGCTAAGAGAAAGAGCTGAGAGAAAAAAAAGTAAATTTTTAAATGAAAAATGCTACGAAAATTTCTCGTTTGTTGTGAAAATGATAGGCTGCAAAAAAAGAAAGAAAAAAAAAACTAGTAAAGAAGACTTAAGACCTTTCTAGTGCATAGTTGGAACACAAAATGATGTACATGCACTGTCTTTAATAGGAGAATCCCTAGTGTTCATTATACAGAACGTTTCGTATACTTCTTTGGGACCCTCCCCAATTTCTTTACTTCTTCCACCCTGCTCTACACCCCCCAGCCTTATTTTCTTTTCCTCTAAAAGCGTTATTACATCCCCCCCCCAAGCTAGTATACCGAAAAATACATCTTTTTAAGATACCGAGGGGAGGGGGCTAAAAAGTGAAAGAAATGCAAGTCTAGCTCATTTTAGACGAATTTTCGAGCTTCCGTAGGGAAAAAAATAATTTTCTGCATTATTACGCACTAAGCATATGGGGGGATCTTCTGAGTTAAAAAAAATATTTTTTTCCTTCATTTTTCCTTCTTTCGCCTTCTTTTTTGGTGCTGCCATTATCAGAGATATGTTGTTAGCGTGTTGATACGAAAAACTCGGTTGGAGGTAGGGAAAATATTTTTAGGCAGACATTCTTTTGAGCCTAAAAAACACAGCAAGGGGTAGGTCCGAGATTAAAAAGTATCGTCATTTCTACAATTATGCAGGAGTCGGGAAGATTCAATTATTGTAACGTTACACGCTGTCATGGGCCCGTAAAGTTAGGAAATAGAACGTCATAAGAATTTTTCTTTATTTATCTTTTTCTTTCCTAAACAATGTCTACCATAAAAGGGAAACTAACAAAGTGTTCCCGGAACGAAGATTAAAGTTTGCTTTGTGCATCAGAAAGTCGCTGCAAATAATGAACGTTGAAGTTGAATTTTAATCTTGAAATTGTTTGTCTTGTGCATAAAAAATTCCAGTTCCATGACTTTGGAAATCTATGCAAGTATTCTTTCTTTAAGAAAGAAATGGTATACTCAAAATTAATATAATATAAACGGCATATCTTTATTTATATCACCAAATTTTGGGTAGCTAGATTGCTGATATACGTTCTCTAAATTTTTAAAATTTTAAAAAAATTGCTTTTAAAAATTCTTAAAACTTTATATTCTCCACACATTGAAAAAATTTCATTTAGCGTACCATACATTATTTTTTATAACTGGCATTGAACAGCCGAACTAAGTCTGTCTATCAATGTTTAATTTCGTATCCTTGTAATTTTGGACCCAATTTAAAAGACCTAGGAATTCCTGGATCAAGCATCGATACAAACTAACCTTTGTGGAAGTCTTTTTTAAGGAACCAGTTTGCTTTTGCGTTACATTAAGAGGAAAACCTCAAATGTTTTGCCTAGTTGCAAGGGGATTCTAACACATGATCCAACTACCACAGAAGATATTTTACGTCAGCACTGTGGTCAGTGCGAACCGAAAGCAGAATTCATATCAACCAGCCATCGCTAATATTCGAATCTGGTTCACCTCATTTAGAGGTGAACGCTCTATACCCTGAGTCACTACGGTTCGTTGAAATTTTTAATCAGATTAATCAGTGATACAACACTTGAAAAACTTTATAGTTTGATCAAAAAAAAAAGAGAGAAAGAAGGAAAAAGAAAACAGCATTTGTCAAAACTAATATCAAACAATGCATGAAACATACAAAAAAATTTTGACAGTGTGAACAATAACTACATTTAAAACAAATCTTTAACTTTTGTACTCAATAAATTTCTATATATTAAAAATTAATTCTGCCTTAATTTGAATCCTTAATTTACTCAATAAATTGGAAGCAAGTTAACTTGACTTGCTACAACTTTGAAAATGACTGGTTTAAGACTAGTATATCATCTATGCCTAACGAAATATTCTGCCTGTTTAGAATTTAAAAAACTTTGAAGAAGACCTAATGTTTGTTGGTTTACGTGGTCATACGATACAGCGCTATTGTTCAGTTATCTTGTGTATACTGCTTTTTAAATACCTAATAGAAAATGTACAATCGTCTTTGTTCAATATAGCATAAAAAATATTAATAGTTAGGTTTAAATCATGATATTTTAGCTATACGTGACAAAGTTGTCTTCTATACTATACAAATAAGATATTAACAGTATAAAATAAAACAGTGAAGGGTTTTGTTCAATAAAATAGCATTAAATAGTATCCAAAAAATGTTATAGTTCAAATAAACCGCACATCAAGGGTGGCAAATCGACTTTAAAATCTAGCCCTTTTCACTAAATTGTTGGATTTAACTATAAGATGTCATTGAAAACTTTAAAATTTCAACGAAAAAGTTTCTTTCTGTTATTTCATAATATGAAATAATTAGAAAAAAAGTATCAATTTAAAATAAGATTTCAAGTTCAAAATGTGTTTTTTTTTCATGTTTACCTCTCTGTGTATTTTACCAATTTTTTTAAAAAATTGGAGTAGATCAAGAGAGGTTAATTAAATCACAAATCATTTCACAAATTAACACTTTCATAAAAATCAACGTAAAGAAATTAAATTAATCAATTAGAAAGTTTATTATATTACGGAAAAAGCAATTAGTATAAATCGTGATGTTTTGATATTCATGATTTCACGATATTGAAACAATGTAAGCTTATATAATGATTATTAATCACAACACGTGATCAAAAGTTTAACGAAAAAGAAATATTTATTAAAAATGTAATTCATTCAATGATTACTTTGTTCTTAAAAAGTAAAATATAAATAAATAAATAAGAAATAAAAAAAAACTATGAGCTGAAGTCAATTGTAATTTTAAAAAATGCATGAAAATTTGATTAAAGTTTTAAAATAATTTTAAAAATTTATAAACGTAATTGCTAAATTAAGTTGCCGCATTTATCATAAAACAGATCTACTAATAACTCAATAGCGCGGTATTTTTGTAATACTGCGTTTATTTTACGCTTTAATTATGACCGAAAATAGTATTGTGACATTAAAATTAATATTTGGGAATGATTGAATTGTATTATAACACATAATACAATTTAATTTCATTATATGCAACAAATAAATAACAGGGTAATATATAAGTAGAAAATCAAACAATAATCAAAGCGCACTTATTTATTAAATTACTTATTCAATGCCATCATTTTTCTAAAAATTTTGTTTTTGCCATCTTAAAACTTAAAAATAATTATTGTTTTAGTGGTATGACGTGGATTTGGATCTAGTGGACAGTAAATTGAGAGATTCTTTTGTCTTAAGTGAAGCCGACAATGAAACTGAAGTATTTCTTGAGAATAGCTTCGAAAAATCAGATTGGCTGATGACTCAAATATTCCACGCTTTGGCGAGAAGTCTTCTGTGTTGGTTTATGACAAGAACGTCTATAAATGGGTGAATATTTGTTTTGATTCTGCTTTAGGAAAATAATTTTCGAAACAAAGCTTGGTCATTGATTTAATATGGCCAAATTTACTCTATTTTTAATTTTACTTAGTTTAAAGGCCGATAGAAAGTTTTTTTTAAACGGAAACAAATGAATATTTTAATTTATTACAATGCAACATTGTGTAAAATAACTCACCCATAAATAAAGATATCAGGATTTAACATTTTTCTTTAATTAGAAAGTAAATTATCATACGAAATTTGTTTTACATGAACAAACCTATGGAAATATTGCATATTTTGTGTTAGGCAAGAAAAATGTTCCGTGTAGAAAGCATATATTGGTTTATGTTAATAAATTGAATTTTTATCCGAAAAACAATTGCACTATTTAAAATTTCTGAAAAATTTTGTTTAAAAGAGGTTGATATTGGTGAATTGATTTTTTGTCTATAGAACAGTAGCACAAATAAAAATTTCCCGAAACATTTATGTGTAAAAAGCTTCTGAAGATTCTTATTAGTCGATTATATTATTTTATCTGTAGAATAATTGCATTAAATATTTCCTGAGAACAAATATGAAAAAACTTTAAAGATAAACTTTTGAAAGTTTTTTATGTAAATTTATACTAAAGTTTATCATTTATTGAACAATAAAAAAAACTATTATGTCTATTTTTTTAAAAGTATAGCATTATTAATTCTCCATTAAAAATACGTTCTCAAATGAAACTTTCTGCAACTTTCTACAAATGACTGAACTTTTCTGAAATGTTGTCTGAAACTTTCTACAAATAGAAACACTATTTCTTGTTTTGTGGCTCAAAAATAAGCAAAATATGTCAGGATGTTTAAAAAAGTCAAGCAGTAACATTTCAAATTTTCACAAAACAAATAAGGAAGCAAATTTTAAGCACCAAATTTAAATTGGCATGTAATGTGAATATTTTTTTGCTTTTCTCTGAAAATTCTTGAACAAAAATAAAACGCATTAGATTTTTTTTTCTCGCTTAATTTTTCTTTTTTCCCCTTTAAAAAAATAAAATAAAAACGCTCATTGAATGTCAAGAAAATCCGGCTTTTTAATTAATGCCTGCTTTGGTTATAATAAGCAAAATATTATTTGTGGATAGCATATTATGGAGATGTTGTTTTGCTATAGAGAAGTACAAAATCGTTTTTTTTATTGGTTATAAAAACATATAGCAGTAGCACTTATAAAAACTTTCCAAAGTAAAAAAGGCAAAGGTTTTTGATATTGAGACTTAATTCTTACCTTATTAAAACAATAAGAAATACTAGCTATCAAATTTCCATCATTTTTTTTATGTAACTTTTCTTACCTGAGCAGAATTCAATAACCTCTAAAATTTTAGAAACTGGAATGCTTACTCTCAAGATGTCTTTTAGTTTTTTTTTTTAAACAAAAAAAAAACCAAGAACAGGTAAGTGCAATTTATACGCCATTGNAAAATGTGTTTTTTTTTCATGTTTACCTCTCTGTGTATTTTACCAATTTTTTTAAAAAATTGGAGTAGATCAAGAGAGGTTAATTAAATCACAAATCATTTCACAAATTAACACTTTCATAAAAATCTACGTAACGAAATTAAATTAATCAGTTAGAAAGTTTAATATATTGTGGAAAAAGCAATAAGTATGAATCGTGATGTTTTGATATTCACGATATTGAAACAATGTAAGGTTATATAATGATTATTAATCACAACACCTTATTAAAAGTTTAACGAAAAGAAAATATTTTGAAAATGTAATTCATTCAATAATTACTTTGTTCTTAAAAAGTAAAATATGAATAAATAAATAAAAAAAACTATGAGATGAAGTCAATTGTAATTTTAAAAAATGAATGAAAATTTGATTATAGTTTTAAAATAATTTTAAAAATTTATGAACGTAATTGCCAAATAAAGTTGCCGCATTTATCATAAAACAGACCTACTAATAACTCAATAGCGGGGTATTTTTTTAATACTGCGTTTATTTTACACTTTAATTATGACCGAAAATAGTATTGTGACATTAAAATTAATATTTGGGAATAATTGAATTGTATTATAACACATAAAACAATTTAATTTCATTATATGTAACAAATAAGTAACAGGGTAATATATGAGTAGAAAATCAAACAATAATCAAAGAGCACTTATTTATTAAATTACTTTCATTTTTCATTATTTCATCATCATAATTTTCATTCTACTCATTTTTCTAAAAATTTTGTTTTTTTGAAGTGAAATAGTCTTAAAACTTAAAATTAATTATTGTTTTAGTGGTATGACGTGGATTTGGATCTAGTGGACAGTAAATTGAGAGATTCTTTTGTCTTAAGTGAAGCCGACAATGAAACTGAAGTATTTCTTGAGAATAGCTTCGAAAAATCAGATTGGCTGATGACTCAAATATTCCACGCTTTGGCCCGAAGTCTTCTATGCTGGTTTATGACAAGAACGTCCATAAATGGGTGAATATTTGTTTTGATTCTGTTTTAGGAAAATAATTTTCGAAACAAAGCGTGGTCAGTGATTTAAAATGGCCAGATTTACTCTATTTTTTATTTAACACAGTTTACACAAGTTTTTTTTAAACGAAACAAATGAATATTTTAATTTATTACAATGCAACACTGTGATCAAAATAACTCATCCATAAATAAAGATATCAGAATTTAACATTTTTCTTTAGTTAAAACGCATATTTTCATACAAAATTTGCTTTACATGAAAATGCTATGCAAGAGAAATGTTCTCTGTAGAAAGCATATATTGGTTTATGTTAGTAAATGGAATTTTTATCCGGAAAACAATTGCACTGTTTAAAATTTCTGAACAATTTTATTTAAAAGAGGTTGATGTTGAGGAATTGACTTTTTGTCTACCGGACAGTTGCACTAATGAAAATTTCCTGAAAAATTTATGTGTTAAAAGCTTATTATGCTTCCTAGTAGTCTATAGGATTATTTTATCTGCAGAATAATTGCACGACTAGATATTTCTTGAGAATAAATATGAAAAAAATTCTTAACTTTAAAGATAAACTTCTGCAAGTTTTTAATGTAAATTTCTACTGAAGTTCATCATTTATAGAACAGTAAAAATACTTTTTATGTCTTATTTTATAAAAGTATAGCATTAATAATTCTCCATTAAAAAAAGTTCTCGAATGAAACTGGAGACAAGGTCTGAAATTTTCTACAAATGGAAACACTATTTTGTGTTTTATGTCTCAAAAATAAGCAACATTTGTCAGGATTTTTAACAAAGTTATGCAGTAAGATTTAAAATTTTCGCAAAACAAATAAGGAAGCAAATTTTAAGCACCAAATTTCAATTGGCATATAATGTGAATATTTTTTTGCCTTTCTCTAAAAATTCTTCTTCTAAAAGAAATTTTTGAACAAAATAAAACGCTTTGGATTTTTTTTCTCGCTTAATTTGTTTCACCTTTAAAAAAATTAAATAAAAAAGCTTATAGAATGCCAAGAAAATCCGGCTTTTTATTAAATGCCTGATTTGGTTATAATAAACAAAAAATTATTTGTGGATAGCATATTGTGGAGATGTTGTTTTTCTATAGAGGAGTACAAAATCTTCATGTTTTTTTTATTGGTTGAGCAGTAGCACTCATAAAAACTTCCCAAAGTAAAAAAGGCAAATGTTTTAATATTGAGACTTAATTCTTACCTTATTAAGACAATAAGAAATACCAGCTATCAAATTTCCATCATTTTTTTTTTATGTAACTTTTCTTACCGGAGCAGAATTCAATAACCTCTAAAATTTTAGAAACTGGAATGCTTACTCTCAAGATGTCTTATAGTTTTTTTATTAAAAAAAAAGAAGCAAGAACAGGTAAGTGCAATTTATACGCCATTGCAGATGAAGTGAAACGTAAACTAAAAAAAATTGTATTTTATTTTAATTTTCATTTCATTCTGGAATTAAAAATGGTTGCTCTAACTTCTTCATTTCCAATTCTAGAATTATTTTTTTTCCATTTTCGATTCCAGAAATTTATATCTAACTCGAGGCTTAAGTAATTAAATCTGAGAAGTACTAGCTACTAAATTTTCAGCATTTTTTTTATGCCTTTTCTTATTAAAGCGGAATTTAGTAAGCTCTAACGTTTTAGAAATTAGACTGCTGACTCTGAAGCAATCTCTTAGTTCTGAAAAAAGAAACAAGATAGGTAAGTGCAGCTTATACGCCATTGCAGATGAAGAAATGAAACGTGAACTAAAAAAAGTTTCTGAAATTATTTTAATTTCATTTTATTCTAGAATTAAAAACGATTCAATTCCAGAATTCTTGTCAGGTTCGATTCTAGAAAGTATTGTTCATTTCAATTTTTTTCTGAAATAGAAAATAAAATAGATTAGCTTTCAAGTTATAATTGAAGTTGATTTTATCATTTTTAATAAATTCGGTTGAACAACGTTTAATTCTTTCCAATCTTTTGTTATTCATAAAGTTTTTTAATTTAAAAAATATGTAATAATAAAATGAAAGCGGTTTGTAGTGCTATTATTATTAGATGAAGATATTAATAATAATTAGAATGATAAAATAATAATTGGAATCTAGAATTGAAGAATAGAGCGTTTATGGGATTTAACAATAATTTTCTTTAACAAAGAACTTATTTTTAAGCTAAAATATTTCGTAAAAAAACTTATTATATGTCTTATTTTTTATTTTTTTACTCAAGGAATGAGGAATCATAAAATGTATCTGCTCAATAGGAGCAAAATCAGTCTGTCCAGTTCAAATTAATTTCGTATATTGTGTGTAGAGAGTGTATGAGCATACTGCTATACGAGCATACCGCACAGGAGCTAAGCAAAACTTTGCATAATGAAACTTTGCATTATCACTATTGTACAATTATCGAAAATATAATGAACAATTATCGAAAGTAAAATGTGCTGTTGTCTAAGTTTCCAGCAATTTTTCCACAACTTTTTACCACTACATCGTTAAG